AATCATACAGGTGTTTCAGAAAATTGGTAATATAGAAATGTGAAGTATGGCCATACGTCATTTTAATTTTTTATTAAATCAAACACCGTCATCCGCACAATTTTCTTCGCCGTGACATTTACCGGGGACATTTACTGACTTCACCAATTTCAACTCGACGTTAGTTCATTAAAAGACATCTAATGTCTTTGATTCATTCGCGTGTACTTATTCTTTTGTAGCTGTAAATCATGAAACACTGGTGCAGTGTATTAGGTCATTTATTATTTCTCCATGTTACAGATCATTATAATTCAATGCTTTTAATATTAAACATTTTATTTTGAATCATTTTAGAAAGTAGACGGGACCCAGCGTAATTTTCCCGTATTGCCGTTGATCTTAATGACTAGCTACGCTTGAATTTACAGATGTCGCATCTGACTCAACCATATACCGACGATCTTGATAATCTGTGTTCATTACGGTCCAATCTTCCTCGACGTGGGCCAATTTAGTTAAACGACGAGAAAACTGAATAAGGATCCAACCTTTTTTGCACTACTGGCTGACGGAACTGATCGGCGACTTCCCCTATGACGTCACAAAGAGTATTTATGTTTGTCTTGAAACACATAAACCATAATAATAATCAATCGCCGATAATTGATTTTGGACAAGAAATTGCAAATATTTCATCCCTACATTATACCCATTCCCATTACAGTGTGGGGACATCTCTACATTACACCCATTCCCATTACAGTGTGGGGACATCTTTACATTACACCCATTCCCATTACAGTGTGGGGACATCGTACACCTATTCCTATTACAGTGCGGGGATATCTCTACATTACACCCATTCCTATTACAGTGTGGGAACATCTCTACATTACACCCATTCCTATTACAGTGTGGGGACATCTCTACATTACACCCATTCCTATTACAGTGTGGGAACATCTCTACATTACACCCATTCCCATTACAGTGTGGGGACATCGTACACCTATTCCCATTACAGTGTGGAAACATCTCTACATTACACCCATTCCCATTACAGTGTGGGGACATCGTACACATATTCCTATTACAGTGTGGGGATATCTCTACATTACACCCATTCCTATTACAGTGTGGGAACATCTCTACATTACACCCATTCCTATTACAGTGTGGGGACATCTCTACATTACACCCATTCCTATTACAGTGTGGGAACATCTCTACATTACACCCATTCCCATTACAGTGTGGGGACATCGTACACCTATTCCCATTACAGTGTGGAAACATCTCTACATTACACCCATTCCCATTACAGTGTGGGGACATCTCTACATTACACCCATTCCTATTACAGTGTGGGAACATCTCTACATTACACCCATTCCTATTACAGTGTGGGGACATCGTACACCTATTCCCATTACAGTGTGGGAACATCTCTACATTACACCCCTTCCCATTACAGTGGGGGACATCTCTACATTACACCCATTCCTATTACAGTGTGGGAACACCGTACATCT